AAAGAATTTATAACAAGGATTCCCCCTATAAAACTGTGGAAACTAGTGAAGTATTCTATGCCAGGCATTGCCTCTGCGCCTGGTGTTGGACCCAAAGTCAGTAGAGATCAGCCAGCCCCAGGATCAAGAAGGAAAGCTAGGCACAGAGTTCGGGAAGTCAAGGGCAAATGAGAACACACAAACTGGATCCCAACTCTGTCTAAACATCTCTTCTCTTGATACAGGTGACCTGTAGAAGCTAGAGCCCTTAACTACGGAGCTACTCATGCACCTGGACCAAGACTCAGAGAACCCGAAGGAGGAGCTCATACAGGTCTGAGCGCGGACCCTGCCGACAAGTGAGCCAGCACATTCAATGTGGATGAACCACCACTGTGCCTGGCGCCCAACTCTCACTGTCAGAGTATAAAACATGGCTTCACATCCACCTCCCCGGCCTTGTGCCAATTTCTCTTGTGGCCAATGCTGATCTGGAACCACGTAGGGAAGGGAATTCTGGTAAGCGAGTTCCAACGTAGCTAAATTGACAGTACAGAGCTACCAGAGTCTACTCCTTGTCAACTTGGCATTCATATACACTTAAAAAATTTTTTTTAAGTTTATTTATCTATTTTGAGACAGAGAGTGTGTGTTGCACAAGCAGAGGAAGGGCAGCGAGGAGAGACAGAATCCCAAGCAGGCTCTGCACCATCAGCACAGAAGCAATGAGGGGCTTGAGCTCACAAACTGTGAGATCATGACCTGAGCTGAGATTTAGAGCCCAACACAGAACCGACTGCACCACTCAGGTGTCCCTCATACATGCTTTTTTAAACGATACTTAGCTTTTAAGTGAAGACAACAACAAAATCATGCTTCCAGTTAACAGAACCCAATTGCCCCTCATGCAACTGAAAACATGCTATTCTTCTCCCTAACAGACAACATAAGGTCCCTTTATCCATCTTTGGGTAACATTTATTCTTTTTCTAGCTCAGTCACCTCCCCCTTTGGAAGTAAGAGCTTTGGGAGGTGATTAGGTCATGGGAGTGGAGCCTTTATAAAATTATTTTTTAATGTTTATTTATTTTTGAGAGAAAGAGAGACAGACTGCAAGGAGGGGAGAAACAGAGAGGGACAGAGGATTCAAAGCAGGCTCTGAGCTGACAGAAGCAAGCCTGACATGGGGCCCGAGCTCATGAGCCGCGAGATCATGACCTAAGCCAAAGTTGGACGCTCAACCAACTGAGCCACCCAGGCACCCCGAGAGTGGAGCACTCATAAGAGAGACCGCAGGGAGTTCCCTCATCCCTTCTTCTGTGGGAGGACATAACAAAGAGACAGACATCCAGGAAATGTGCCCTTACTAGATGCATAATCTGCTGGTGTCCTGCTTGGAGCTCTTAGCATCCAGAGCTGTTAGAAATAAATTTCTGTGTATAAGCCAGCCAGTGTGTGGTACTGTGCTATGGCATCCCAAGTGAACTAAGAGAGACATAAAACAATAACCATCATGGATTTTGTGTGTCAGGAATTTGGAAGAACCACAGTAAGAATGGTTCTTCTATGCCTCAAAATGTCTGGGTTGAGATGACTCAAACAGCTGGAGGTAGGAACCACTGGGACCATGGAATCTACTTCCAAGATGGTTTATTCTTTCATACTTCTGGCACTTAGCCCGGTATACCTGAAGGTCAGGCTCATCTGGGACCATCAGCCAGAAAATCTGCAGAGTGGTCTCAAGGTAGCGACTACTTAAAAGGCTGTTCAGAGCTCCAGAATGAATTTCCCAGTAAATAAGGTACAGGCTGCATGGCCTTTTATGACATAGTTTTGGAAGTCACCTGGTGTCACTTACACTGTATTCAATTGGTTGAAGAAGGCACAAGCTTTCCAAAATTCAAGGGGAGGAAATATAAACTGCCCTTCAATGGGAGGAATGTTGAATTTGAGGCTATGTTTTAAAATTACTCCAAGATTTTGTCTAGTCTAGTTCATGCTTATCCACAGCAGGTGGCTAGTTCACCCTTTTTCATTATTTAGCATCATTTCTGTTCTTTTCTCACCTGTATCAACGGATGAGAGGGCTGCGTATGAGAATATCATTACACGTGCTTTCTTTGCATGCTTCCCCGGGTCTCTTAGAAATTCATACACTCCTCATAGCTAGACTCACATTTCAAATTTTCTACAAACTTACTACTCACAGGTGATCTCCTGACTTATAACTCTTTGTCTGGATACTCCTGGATTTATGATTCCTAATGACTTCAATTGATAATAATGAGATCACTGGTCAACTAGCCAATGAATGTTGACAAGAAAATATCTTGGGCTGTTTCATGAAGTTTAGAAACAAGCTTCTGAACCAAACAAAAATTCTAGCCAAGGCATTTTTCTATCTTAAAATGTTTAAGAATCAGCACAGTAAAACAGAAAAGGAAGATAAGTGGTTGGCATAACATCTGAGTTCTGAAAGCTGAAAGCTGTCTTGTTAGGAGTGGCCTATAGAATAGACTTGACCATCATTCTGGAACCAGTTAAGTTGCATTTTGATGGTCTCCTACACCCAGAACATAATGAAGGCTTTCTTTTCCTAAAGAATTAGAGCACATATAGCCTGAACCATTCCTTTATTTATTCAACAGGCATCTATTAAGTGCTTTGAATGGGTCAGGTAGTGTTCTCCTTTGCTGTTCAGAAACACAGCGGTGAAGAAGACACAGCCTCTGACCTCAGAGGACTGTGAAAGAGATAAAAACCAAGCCAAACCAAAACCAATACCAATGAGTAATGGAGCTCAAGAAAAAGCACTTAACTATAAACAGGTTTCACTAAGGGCATGGACCACCTTTTACATGTCTCCATACCTCCCATAATGCAGCTCAGTGACAGGTCCACAATAACCTACCACTAAACATTTGCTAATGGTCTGACTAACAAATACTGAAATGTAACGAGATTGTAGAGGTACAAAGTGTGTTTGCATTATTTTTTTGCCTCCTGCACAAGTTTGCAGTTGCCCATCTGTACGTTAAACCATCTCCATGAACAGATACGAATGTCCTATATACCATCTTCTGTTGGTAGGAGGAACAACAGGGTTCTGATTCCTTCATATGCAAGAGCTCTCTGCTGACTTCATTCTTCAATGCTGGCTAGTGGTGCAAGTGATAAGAAGACAGTTTGGGGTCTGCCACTTAGGAGCCGTTACTTAATCTCTTGGGGCCTGTGATTCCTCAACTTTGAGCAAGATTAGTGCTCCTTTCTGCTTTACTCAGTACACATGACTTTATTTCATAACTGGTTTGGGTGCAGAGGAAGATGTAGCACCCAGACTATATACCAACTGATGGGATCTGGCCTGGCTTCTCCCCATGCTTCTGTTGTTCCACAGTCAAGTCCCTGTCCTTATGAGGTTTTGGTCCCAGTGAATTTTCCCCTCAAAAACTGAACAGGATAATAATGAACCATTTTCTTGCATTTTCTATCAAGACTGCTCTTTGTGAGTTCTAAATGTTCTGTCCATATTCAAAGAAGCTGGTTTCTTCATGAGTGGTTGGAATAAGACTTCTCTTGGAAGCTACTGAATATGGATTAGTTGGATTGTTTCTCAGGAAATAAAAAGCAGGCTCTGGGGTGGCTACTTCAACACTTAATTGGGTTAGCAAAGACCTGCAAATGAGAGGCTTTCCTTAGGAGGGAAAGGATGTTTACGGCCCCCCACCCCCCTAGGTGGTGGGTTTTAACCTAAACCCTTGTCTTTAAATGCAGCCTTTAATTTAGAAACCATTACAAGAATCTATTAGAGCAGAAAACGTCAGGTTGGAAAATTAACACATCACAGGAGTTAATTAGAACCCAGCCTCTCATTAGATGCAAATAGAGAGCCCTCCAACTGCCCAGTGGCCTGCTGAAGTCACATTTGTCACAACTCTAAGGTGGCTGCATCTTCCCCACTCAGAGAGTGGACAGAGGAAGCTTCCCAAGCACTCAGGCCAGAGCCACTAGAGGCCCTGCCCTTTAGGTCAGTGGAAGGTACGATTCACATGCCCTTATCTTCTACTCCTCTCCTAAATGCTCTGCCTATCACAGGGTGGAGAGCCCTCTGCCTGGAACTCCCTCAGGGAAGTGTTTTCTGCAACAAAGACAAACATGCCGTGCCTGTCACCAGGAGCAGACTGGCGACTGTGTAAACCACTCTGTGAGAGGGAGGCTGAGGGGCTCCAGGCCATTCAGACTTAGCTCTAAGTCATGGTCTTTGTTTTCTTTCCACTTTCAGACTGAAATGTGATTCCCCTGGCTTTCTTTTTTGGAAAATACCTTTGAGGAGTTCCATGCAGAAAGAAAAGCTGTTGACAGGAAAAGCTCCTGCCGGGGAAGGGGCTTCTTCCAAGGGTTCTCAAAGGAGACAGTGCTTGAAGCGAGCTGAGGCAGGGATGCCAGGGCTAGGAATAAGAAGTCCAGATCACCAGAGGGTCACCTCTAACTACGGACTAGGCAATGTGTCAAGCAGTTTCCTCTGTAAGAGTAATACCGTGCACATAAACTTTTAGGCCAGGCAGACATGCGTCTGAGTCCTCTGCCACTTGCTGTGTGATCGTGAACAAATTGCTTAACCTCTCAAAACATCAGGTTTCTCACGCTGTTGTGTGAGATAAATGCAATAATGCACGTAAAACTTGTAAGACAGTAGCCGGCAGAGAGCAAGTGTCCTATAGGAGCTGTTGTTGGTTTGATAATAGTATTGCTTCCCCCACTAACGGTGTTCCCTCTGCGTGCCAGGCCCTGTGCTGTTCCTTGACCTCATGGACTTTATCGTTTAATAAACCATGTGCACATACCTTTAGCACAAAGAAAGCCCCCTCTCCTTTCTGCAAATTCCACAGAAGTGCCAATTGCACACGAACTCTGCTTCGTTGAGTAGCTCAGACTCCTGCAGTCATCCCCCTTTGAGCAGCCCTGTAACCTCAGCTACCTCTACCCTCAATTTACCCACAATTCTCTCCGTGTGTACTTACCACAGTGAGGTACATCTGTCTGTTCATTTTCTGTCTGCTCCTGTGAGTTCCCTAGGGGATGAGGATCACTTGGTCATTTGATTCATTCATCTCCTCATTTATTCATCTCTGGAGGCCAATGGTCTCCTGCATTACTCAGCACAGTCATACAGAAGATTCAAACCCACTGCTGAGTATGTAGATTTCCAGCTGGGAACATTTCTGGGGAAATAACCCTGCATCTCATGTTTGAAAGGCCTCCTTGGGTGCTGGTTTGGTTGGTCTTCCATTTTCTGACTATCATTTTGGTTACAGCCTCAGTTTCTTCATCTCTTTAAGGTGCTATAATAGAGTCCTTCCCTGGGAGGTTGTGATGATGGCTGGAGACACAGCAACTTTTATGGGCCCAACACAATTCTAAGTACAGAGCGAAAAACCCAGAAAAGTTGATTCCATTCTTGCCCTCAGCCAAGTCTAGTTGCCAATGTAAGAAAACTAAAACTGTAAGGTAAAATATGAAGGAGAGGGGCAGATATCCTTCCGACTTGTATTTCTGCCATATGGCTGAAATAGAGGATACAAAAGCATAAAAATTTGGTCCCTGTCACCAAGCCTCTGGAAAACTTTGGCAAGTGTTGGCCAAAAAGATCTCAGGAAGAGAGTCGAAAGCTCTTCATCCAGATAGCCAGACCTGGGCTTGCAGGCAAGCGATGTCTTTGGGACCTGACTGGAAAGCAGGACTCATTTCACAACAAAAACCAGGCTATTTTGCACTTACTTTGTATGTGCCAGACACTGTGCTAAATGATTTAGGGGCATTATCTCATTTAACTCTTAGAACAACTGTGTGGGATAAACACGAATTTCCTTATTTTACACATGGCCAATTCGAATCTCAGAGAGGCACAGTAGATTTACCACAGTCAAGCAACAAGTAAATGGTTTAGAAATCCACCTGCTGAGGGTTTCACTGGTCTGATTGGAAAGGGAAGGGGTGGACCAGCACAAACCTCCATCCGAGGGATGGGGAGTGGGGTGGGGAGGAATGAGAGAGAGGGAAATTTGGATCACAACAGAGGTCGCATGATCCCCAGACCTCCAGGACCCTTCGTAGAAGAGGAATAAGTTAGAGATGCAGGCTGCAGGGGAGGGATGCCCGGGAGGCTGGGGGAGGGGACCCTCGGTGATTGTGCGCCTTCTTCGCCTCCTGTGCACACAGGTCAAGCCTCTCCCCTCCCGCCCTCTCACCCTCCCAACCTTATTTAGAAACCGTGTCCCCGAGACAGGAAGGGCGGCGGGCCGAGAAGCACGGAGCGTCCCGGTCTCATTTCCTTTCGAATCCCCCTGTGGAATTTCATTTCATACGGTGAGGAAATCGGAGCGCGAGACCGTCGGCTGGTCTGCTGCTCCGGGGCGCCTCCCCCACTCGCGGCTGGAGACAGGCAGCTCCCGGGCGCAGGTCGGGCCGAGTCTGGGGGCGGGGAGACGGGGCCGGGCTCCAAACCAAGCAAGTTAGCAGGGAAAATAGCTGCGAGCTCGCATTGTACCAGGCACGGGGCTAAGCGTTTTACGCATTATCTCTAATCCTCCCGAGTCTCTTCACGGATGAGGAAACTGACGCCGAGACGTTGAGCAATTTGCTCAAGGTCACACAGCCGGGATTTAAAGCCACAATCTTGGTAAACCTGAATCCCGTGTTCTTTGTGTACGTTTCTCTGCCTGATAGGTAGTTTGCCACGGGCCGAGGTGACAGCCGGAAGAGGGAAAGGAAAGGGAGCCGACTAATCTGGGAGCATTTCTCACCTGGGAGAGGAGGGGGCTGGCTGGCCCGGCGGGAGCAACTCGGCTCCATCCCCGCCTGGCCCCCGAGCGCCGCGACCCGGGTGGGAGGAAAAGTGAGAGCCGGGAAGCCGGGCGGGGCGCTCCGGGAGGGAGGGAAGGAGGGGGGGGAGGGGGGAGAGGGAGCGCGGCGGGCGGGGGCCTGACCCTGCCAGCGGCAGAACGGCCCCGCCCCTCGCTGCCCCCGGCGCCCGCCCATTGGAGAGGCGCGCTGTCCGTCCCGCCCCGCCACCGCCCAGCGAACCTCCAGCGCCGCGGAGGGCTGGGGCGGTGGAGAGCGGCGCGGCGCTGGGTGCTGGCGGGATTCGTTGAGACGCAGAGCGGACGCCGCCGGCGCCGGGTTGGGGGCTCGCAGCCTGCAGCCATGACCCTCGCAGTCTGTCCTTCGGCCCCGGCCACGGGCGTCTAATATCCCACACAGTCGCGCGCAGCTGCCAGAGAGCCGGCCGCTGCCCCTTCGTCGCCCTTGGCGCCTTATCACACTCCCTTTCCCGGAGCTGGGAGCAGCGCGGGCAGCCGGCGCCCCCGTGCAAACTGGGGGTGTCTGCTGGACCAGCCCCCGCCGCCGCCGCCGCCGCCCCCGGCTCTGGCCATGGCCTGGCGGGGCTCAGTGCCGAGCGTCCTGGGGGCGCCCGGGGGCGTCGATCTCAGTCTGCGGCTGCTGCTGCCGCTGCTGCTGTTGCTGCTGCTCCCGGGGCCAGCGCGAGGCTTCGGGGACGAAGAGGAGCGGCGCTGCGACCCCATCCGCATCTCCATGTGCCAGAACCTGGGCTACAACGTGACCAAGATGCCCAACCTGGTGGGGCACGAGCTGCAGACAGACGCCGAGCTGCAGCTGACAACTTTCACGCCGCTCATCCAGTACGGCTGCTCCAGCCAGCTGCAGGTGGGCGCCCCCACCCCCACCCCTGGCGGGACAGGGACCCCTTGGGCAGGGACGCCTCAAACTAACTCCGTGGAGCCCTTGCCAAGCCAAGCCCCCTGCCCCCTTCCTAGGCAGAAGGATATAACTATCCTGGAAAAGTGATTTCCATCCCCACCCCCACTTTTGTGTCCCTTCTCAGGGACTGCAAGCCAAAACGTTGTGTAAGTCATCTGGCCTGCGAAAGAACCCACTCTTACACCCCGCCCTTCCGTTTTTCTCCCCTGTTCACCCGTGTCTGGCCAAGCCCCTAACCCCAGTGGAGCTGAGGGGGTTATCTTTGCCAAGGATTCTGGCCGCCGCTGCTCGGTGGGCGAGTCCCCAGCAGGACAGCCAGCTGAAACTAAGACTTGGAAGGAAGGAGAGATAAGGAGACGGGAACTTCTCCTCCCTCACGACCTCCATTCTCCCCCATATTTTTGGGTGGGAGAGTAAATGAAACACCACTGCCCCATTTTCTGCGGAGTGGCCCCTCCTCGTGTCATCCCGCATGACTTTGGAGGTCATGCTGGATGGAATGCTTGGGTGGCTTGAGACGTTCTGATCTTTAGGGTTGAGGGCAGGTTTAGGACTTAGACGGCAGGAAACACTCCCCGCTTGGGAAAAAGGTGAGGGAGTGGTCAAACACCAGGAAGGTAATTTATATAATGGAGGATTCTTTTTTTCAGTCATTAAAATTTTTAAAGCTTATGTAATGGTAGAGAAAATGTTCATCCTACAATAAATGAAGAAATAATTTGCATATACAGTGTGATTATAATCTGAACAAAAACAACAACCAATTCATTTTTCTTTTTTTAAGGAACTGAAAGAGAATTCTTAACAGTGTTAGCACTAGGGAAAAAAAGTGTTAGCACTGGTTGTGCTTTGGTTGGTGAGGCTATGAGTGATTTTTATAAATTTAGAAAAGAGAGAACTTGGGGGAAAAAATAGAGGGTAGTTTTCCAGGCTGAAAACTTCAGAAATCCGTGGTTCTGGTTGTAACTTCTGAGAGATAAGAAACAGGCAGACAGCTTCCTCACTAGGTGCATGTTTTTACATAGGTCACTTTAAAAGTTGGATTGTGGTTTCAGAAAGATGGTTGGGATTAGACCTGTTGCTGCTGAAATGTCCCTTTGGAGCTTTCAGAACTTTAGAACTAGGTTATAAAAGCTTAAGAAACGATCCTCTAGCTCTCAGTTTGGAAACAGCACATATCCTGACATCAGTGGCAATTTCGTTGGAGAAACAGCTTTTGCAGGGATATATATTTTTAATTACATGTATCCTGGGGAAGCAGCCAAGCTGTTTTGAAGGACAGGACTGGATCCCTTTACATGCTGGAAAATAGTTACTTGTAACTCTAGACTTCATAGACAACATCTGTAAGGAGCCAAGCAGACTGTTTATCAATGCTGGAGGAATTGAGGACAGCAACTGGGCTCTCCCCTGCTGGTGTTGCAGTTTCAGGGACTTAACATTTATATTTTCCTATTGTGCTTCATTATTATGCATTGGGGAAACCTGGCCAAACAAACCCCTGGTGACCAGAGACCTCAACCTGCATCCTATCCTTGGGTCTCACAGTGTCTCAATTAGGACATTTTCTCTTTCAGTATGGGAACTGATTAAAAATTAATTTTAGGGGATCAAGTAGAGAAAAGACAGTATATTAACAGGAGAAAAGCTGGATCTACATTTTTTTTTTTACATTTATTTTTATGGTGATAAAGAAACGAGGATGAAAATAAATCTCCCCATCGCTGAAATGACTCAGTCATTTGATTAGTCTGTTCGGCTCTTTCAAACAGGGAGTCTCAAAGTCAATTTTTAAGGTTTATTTTCTTAAGCGTTTTCAAAAAGGAATTATGTAACTCTTCAGGTCCTTTTTATGTATGTATTTATTTCTGTTCTCCTGGATTTGTGACAAGGATTGCTAGAACCAAAAGAAGAAATGTGTACAAGCCATGGATTTTTAGGCACCCCAGTTTGAGGTCAGAGTCAACAGAGTCCCTATGGCTGGTTTAAAAGTAGATAGATACTTTGCCTGGAAGCATTCACCTCCGCTTCGTGCAAGCAGTTGGTCAGACTTCCAAGTCATTGTTTTCTTTGTTCATTTCATTACTTTTCCAGTTCTTCCTTTGTTCGGTGTATGTGCCAATGTGCACAGAGAAGATCAACATCCCCATCGGCCCATGTGGCGGCATGTGTCTTTCGGTCAAGAGGCGCTGTGAACCTGTCCTGAAGGAATTTGGCTTTGCCTGGCCAGAGAGCCTGAACTGCAGCAAATTCCCACCCCAGAATGACCACAACCACATGTGCATGGAAGGGCCGGGTGATGAAGAGGTGCCATTACCTCACAAGACCCCCATCCAGCCTGGAGAAGAGTGCCACTCCGTAGGAACCAACTCGGATCAGTACATCTGGGTGAAAAGGAGTTTGAACTGTGTTCTCAAGTGTGGCTATGATGCTGGCTTATATAGTCGCTCGGCCAAGGAGTTCACAGACATCTGGATGGCCGTGTGGGCCAGCCTGTGCTTCATCTCCACTGCCTTCACAGTGCTGACCTTCCTGATCGATTCTTCCAGGTTTTCCTACCCTGAGCGCCCCATCATATTTCTCAGTATGTGCTATAATATTTATAGCATTGCTTATATTGTCAGGCTGACTGTAGGCCGGGAAAGGATATCCTGCGATTTTGAAGAGGCAGCAGAACCTGTTCTCATCCAAGAAGGACTTAAGAACACAGGATGTGCAATCATTTTCTTGCTGATGTACTTTTTCGGAATGGCTAGTTCCATCTGGTGGGTTATCCTGACACTTACTTGGTTTTTAGCGGCAGGACTCAAGTGGGGTCATGAAGCCATTGAAATGCACAGCTCTTATTTCCACATTGCCGCCTGGGCCATCCCTGCAGTGAAAACCATTGTCATCTTGATCATGAGACTGGTGGACGCTGATGAACTCACTGGCCTGTGCTATGTGGGAAACCAAAACCTCGATGCCCTCACAGGCTTTGTGGTGGCCCCCCTCTTCACTTACTTGGTGATAGGAACTTTGTTCATCGCTGCAGGTTTAGTGGCCTTGTTCAAAATTCGGTCCAATCTTCAAAAGGATGGGACAAAGACAGACAAGCTGGAAAGGCTGATGGTCAAGATTGGGGTCTTCTCTGTCTTGTACACGGTTCCTGCCACCTGTGTGATCGCCTGTTATTTCTATGAAATCTCCAACTGGGCGCTCTTCCGGTATTCTGCAGATGACTCCAATACGGCAGTCGAAATGTTGAAAATTTTTATGTCTTTGCTGGTGGGCATCACTTCAGGCATGTGGATTTGGTCTGCCAAAACTCTTCACACGTGGCAGAAGTGTTCTAACAGATTGGTGAATTCTGGGAAGGTGAAGAGAGAGAAGCGAGGAAACGGGTGGGTGAAGCCTGGGAAAGGCAATGAAACTGTGGTATAAGGCTACCCGGCCTCCATACTTTCCAAATGTTGAAGGTGGGAATGCTAGCATTTTGGTGCAAAATGCGACGAAAAGTTTCATGCAGTGAATCTCAGTATGAACCAACTGGCAACACTTAAGTGACCCCTTAAGCAGCCACCACCTGCCCCCCCCCCACTCCCCAGCAATCATAAAAGTAATGATTTTGCTGCAGACTTTGGAATGATCCAAAATGGAAAAGCCAGTTAGAGGCTTTCAAAGCTGTGAAAAATCAAAACATTGATCACTTTAGCAGGTCGCAGCTTGGAGCGTGGAGGTCCTGCCTAGATTCCAGGAGGGTCCAGGGCGATGCTGCTTTTCCCTGCAGAGTGGGATTTGAGCTGTGAGTAGATAACTTGCAGGGAGAAAGATGAACTTTTTTAACCCTTAAAATCTTAAATACTAACTGGGTCTGTCAGATAGCAAAGCAATCTATAAACACTGGAAACACTGGGTTCAGAGAAGTGTTACAAGAGTTTTATAGTTTGGCTGATCTAACATAAACATTTTCTGTGGTGCGCTGTCTGCTGTTTAGAATTTTGTGGATTGCTCTCCCAAGAGGTGGTGTCAGAATCTTTCAGTGCCTTTGTCATAAAACAGAAGTGTTTGAAAAAACAAGAGTACTGTGCAAACACACGTAAGGTATCCAGTGGATTTTTCTTCTTTCTCTTCCTCTTAAATTTCAACATCCCTGTTCTAGGCTGCTGCTGTTTTCTTCATTTTACATTAATGACTCAAAATAGGTATTTTTATAGGAATTTTTGCACTGCAGCCTGTCTAATGAGGGGAAAAGTAAGGTTGATTCACTTTCTGACAATCATTTAATTCAGAGGAAAATGAGATTTACCAAGTCGACTTACCTTACCGACCCCAGAGACCTATTGCATTGAGCAATGGGGACTTAATATATTTTACTTTGTGTGATTGCATCTATGCAGACGCCAGTCTGGAAGAGCTAAAATGTTAAGGTTCTTGGCAACTTTGCATTCACACAGATTAGCTGTGTAATTTGTGTGTGTCAGTTACAATTAAAAGCACATTCTTGGACCATGACATAATAGTATACTCAACTGACTTTAAAACTATGGTCAGCTTGCATTCTCAGAATGATAGTGCCTTTCTTTCCTTTACCATAAGAATGTTATCGGAGTCTAGTCTACTACCACAGTGAAGACTTTTTCTGTTTCGTAGAGAGAACTTAGGACAGAACTATAATCCAACTAGTTGGTGCATAATTGTTTCCTAGTAATTGGCAAAGGCTCCTTGTAAGCTTTCATTGGAGGCAATGTGGCCTGGAGTATTTATATGGTGCTTAATGAATCTCCAGAATGCCAGCCAGGAGCTTGATTGGTTAGTAAGGAATAAAGTGTAGACCATATGAAATGAACTGCAAACTCGTAGCAGCACAGGTCTTAATTGCCTTTTGCAGAGGTATCCAGAGCTTTTAAAATTTATGCTTTATGTTCCTCACAATGGGGTACCCCCTAGCAGCCTCTCAAAAGTTGCAATTCTTTTAAAATTGTAACTGGACTTTCTCTTAACCTGCCTCAGGCCTTCTAATCACCAGATCTCTGGGACAAATTGTTGACAATGTCACAGGCTGCTCTCCTTGTAGCTCATACCTATCTTTGCTTCAACAACTACTTTGCAATGACTCATTTATTTATTCATACCCCACCCCCTCCCTCTAAAAACAGGTAGGAAATCTTTTATCATATTTCTTTCTGGGAAAACATTTCCAGGGACTCAAAATCCCAAATAGGTGGTCAAATTCTGGAAGTAAGCATGCCCTTTTTTTGTTTTTGTAAGCTTTATGCCCATGGTTCCCAGGGTTTGACATTTTCCTTTCTTCTTTCCTCTGTTTCTGGGGGCTCTTGAGCGGAGTCTGAGGCAAAGATGCATATAAGATCTGTTGTGTATTTTGGACGGGAAAGTCCTGGGGCTTTGAAGACAGATGCTAAATGGGCACGGGTGGCCCCTGGCATGTGTGCTGAGCCCGAGTACCTTGGCTGGACTCTGGGTCAGGGTTCTAGGAGCATGAGAAATGATCCCCAGAAGGACCGGTTGAACTCCATCTGAGACTGAGTCGCCTAGGAAATATAAAATGTGAACTCCGTGTGCTGCTTGCAGACAGTTCCCATAGCTAGCCAGGGCCCTGGAGCATGCGTCCCCGGGTGGAGCCTGCCCTTACTCACGCTCCACTCCAGTGTCTTGGGAGTTGTGCTGAGACTCTGGCCCAGGAAAGGGAAGAAGGAGGGTGCAGCAGGGCACTGGCCTGACTGCTAGGTTATAGGGGTTTGTAATGCAATTTTGTTTGGAATGTTTCCGCGATTGTGTGCCCAAGGCAGCACTTAGCCGAGGGCCAGGCACAGAGTAGGTGCTCAATATTTGTGAACAATGAAATAATAATAAGAGTACGTGGGGGAAACTATACACCCGAGTTCTGGAGCCGTGGCCTGACAACTTTCTGGGTTTTAACCGATCTCTTCTACAAATCTCTTGCCTTCTCAGGGGAAAGTCTGTTTGATCCGAAGTGGCTGTTGGTGCAGACGGGATTAGTAGCCCTGGCAATGTCACAGGGCTGCGGGCCTTTCCTTTCACATTCCAGACAATGGAGAGTGTTTATGGTTTCAGGAAAGGAGCTTTGTGGCTGAGGAGTCAGTTACCTTATTACCTTGACGCGACTCCATCACCTTTTAAGTTGGTATTTGTTAAAAAAAAAAAAAAAAAAATTCTATTATTAGCACACTTACCGCGTGCCAACCACGTGTAGAGCCTTGTGTTAGGCACCAAAGGGGACGTCGTGCAGTATAAGCTCTGTCCTTCCAAATGACGTGGACTGAGGATTCTGGGTCTGCTGACTTGCTGTTGGTTTTTTGGGAAGGAGCATGGGCCTCTGAATTGTCATCTTTTTCACTGTGTCCATCCCATAAACCTCTGCAAGTCAGTAACAGGGGTTTGACAGAAATCATCAGCCCTATTCCATGACAATCTCTGTGGGAATCCCCTCAGAAGGCTATGAACATTGGCTTAAAACAGACATGAGCTCCCACACCTAAGGTGACTGCGGGGACAGGCACTTCATGGCTTGGGTGTTCCATGTAATGAATACAGGTGAATTTGAGGACATCTTGCTAGGGAAAAGGTTAGGGCTGTTTTTCTTTGGTATCTAGAATAAGTAGGTGTGATTGTAGCTTCCTACCTCACCAGAAGTCAACTTCCTCTTCCTGCAGGAAGCTACAGTCACACTTCTGGAGATTTTATTCTACAGAGCCCAAGGGCACCACTGTCCACCCTCCGCTCTGGCAAACTCCTCTTTATCTTCCTTCATAAAGGCCACACCTCAGGGCAGAGGAACATGGGGTAGGGTGGAACTGACCTGAACCATCTGGTTGAGCTACTTGGTTGATTCATATCCTTTTTCCTCCACGGAGACCCGTTTCCTGATCTCTGAGACTGCTTCTGAGCTGGCAGCTTGCTCAGGGTCCTGAAACCGGAGAAGGGGTGATACTTTTTATTTCCCTGAGAAGATCTCTGATTTTCCTCTCCCCAGTCACTCCGTCGCCTACACCCCCAAATCAGGGAAACTACTGTGTTTAGGTTCTGAATTGTGACTTTACCAGCACTCTGAACTCTGTCCTCTCTCATCCCCCCTCAGCCTCCTGGTCACTGAATTCAGGGCTTACTGTGTTAGGAACCAAGCTGGGACCTGAGGACACAGAGGAGCTTGGTAATCTCAGCCCTGGAGGGCAGACTTAATTTAAAAAGATGTCACCAGGCTAGTGCAGTCTTTGGTTCCTGGTGAGGTGGCTACAGAAGCAGTTAGGGAGGAGAGCCACAGAACAGACTTTGGAAAGGAGCCCCCAAGATCAAGCTACATCCTGAATTTCATTCTGTGATGGGAGAGATTGGAGGGAGTTGCTTTTCCAGCCAATTATGTCGAGTCACTGGACTCTAACGGTTCCTTGTGTTCTTTTATTGTATTTGGGTTCAGAGTCCTCATCTAGGTTTGTATAATGTTTGGCAGAGGACCCGGGTTATCATTTTTCCTCTGGGTCTAGGTCATAGATCTTGGAAACTCCTAGAAGAGTATTTTGCTCCTACCAAGGATCAGATACCAGAGTGTTAAATAATGGATTTTGTTTTACTGTGGCCTGGTCAGAGCTCTCTGCCTCTGCCTCTTGCCATGCACATGCACAGTAACGGCATACTGGCTGTCACCAAGAGGGAAGTGAACCCTGACCCTCCCCAACAGGCCTCTTCCCCTTGGTGAGGCCACTTGCCCTGTAGCAACCTGTTCCTATTTTCCCTTATTTCCCTTCTTCTTGGCACCAGCAAATTCCCAGTATTTGCCCAGGTGGTTTATAGAGAGCCTGTTTGAGGTCTTCTATGAGCCATGTCCTCCAGGCTTTTGTGGCTCCCTGATCTCCTGCAGCATTCAGTATATGACCACTGTCATCTCAGAAGGCTTCTGAGAAGAGGGGCAGGAGCACCTCTGCCCCCCGAAGCCTGGTCCATCTTCTCCCCCAGGATGTGCACCTCTCCACATCCTGCTCATGGGCTCAGGCCCCAACTTCGTTGTGTGTTTTGGGAGGGGGAGGCTGCTCTCCAGCACTCTCCCAGTGGGGCATCTAAGTGGTTCTGAATTTTTTCCTACCTCACAGGGATGTTGTGAGACTTTCGAAGGTCTCAAGAGGAAAGGCCCCTTGAGCTCTTTGTAGGAAAGGTGAAGTAAATGTCAGGTGTGCTTCTTTGTGACAAGGTGAAATGGGACTCAGCATCTTGTGCAGCAGTCAGGCTGGTGCTCTGTGACCTGTCCTTGGATCCCCATGCCACCCTGCAGCTCCTTCCACCTTGAGGCCAGCCTGGGGGGGCTCTCAGATGTTCGACATAGAGGTACCAGGCAAACCCCTGCTACGAATGCCCTAACAAATTGCTGAACGTCAAAGGAAATGGACCCTGCTTTTAAGGATGTACAAATGTATGTCTGCATTGATGTCTGTACTGTAAATTTCTAATTTATCACTGTACAAAAAAATAAACTTTGCTATTTAATTTTTGTATTAAAGGAAAATAAAGTTTTGTTTATTAACTAGTCTGTGATTTGGCATATTTCTGGGGGTGTATGATAGCCTCCAGGAAGCACACATTCCCAGCAGTGAGAAATAGAGAATTTGGTTTGCAGGACAGATTGAGAGCCTTTCTGAGAGCCTCTTTGTTTCTTTTTTGCTGGTGCTATTTTTCGCCTCTGGGATTTCTCCTGGGTCAGCAAACCCCCAAGGTCCAAGGTCAACAGAATTTATCACTACTGTGGTCATAAGTACCACTCAAATGGTCACATGACACTCTGGACGTAACTGTAGTTCCCAAGCTGTCATCCCATGACACTACTTTTTGGCATTTCCAACATGTGTGACCATTTTTAATACACTTTCCAAGCACCTTTGACTTAATCTGGTGGCCTAAAAAATTTTTTCCTATTACCACTAGACCTTTATGATTCTTTAAAAGGGGTAAAAGGATTTCTTTTTTCCCTTTTCTTTCTTTTTTTTTTTTTTTTTTTTGATTTCCATTTAAAAAATATATATATATAGTCCTGGTCACACAATGGTTGTTTTTGTGTAATAGATATGGGAGTATGTCATATCAGTCAATCACGAGAATGACTCCTTTCAGTTAACTTTATAAATTGTGTGGCCTGTGTCTCCAGATCGAGAAAAGTCATCAGACAAAGCAAATTCAAAGCCATTATCAAGACATTGTCATGGAAGCAAATAATAAGGACCACACAGACACAGAGGGAAGGGGAACCACGGCCATTGGAGATGTCTGCTGATGTCCCAGAGGAGAACATAGGCCCCCTTGGTTTGCCTTTAAATTACGTCCCACGCCCTAATTTCACCTGAATACCACCCGGTTTTGGTGTAAGTAAAAAGCCCAGGGAAGAAGGATCTGTAATACAGTTCTCCTTCACTGCAGATTGCTATTATACTTTTATCTCAAACCATAAATGAAGGGAGGTATATAATTTAAATTCTCTTCCCTGTAAGATAGGCTGTGTTTCTCATTTCATTACCTACTCATTAAGTAGTTATGAAGTTAAGGAAAAAACACAATCTGGAATGAATTCATAATTGCACTTGTAGAAACACTTTCCATATAGAAAATACTTTTATTTACATGATTTCATCTTATTCTCATGGCATCTCTAAAGTAAGCAGGGCAGGCGTTGTCTTGCTGAAGGGAGAACAGAAACTTAGGGCAAGAGACTTGCCCAGGGAAACCCAACAGAGAGGTAACAGGTTGGACAGCCTGGTCTCACACCCAGCCCGTGGGTTTTAATTGTTTTTACACATAGTGGTGGGTTGAGTTGTGTTCGCCCAAAAGACATGCTGAAGTCCTACCTCCCTGTACCTGTGAATATGAACTTACATGGAAATAGAGTCTTAGCAGATATAATCAACTTAAAATGAGCTCATAGGGTGGCCCTAATTCAATGACTGGTGTCCTAATTATAAGGGGAAATTTGGACACAGACACCGAGAGGAGAGAACACCTTACTAACACAGAGGCAGAGATTAGGGTGATGCAGCTTCGGTCCAGGCTAGAAACACCAAAGATTTTCAGCTGCCACCCCAAGTGAGGAGAGAAGTGAAAAAGATTCTTCCTCAGAGCCTCCAATAGGAGCCAACCCTGGCAACACCTTGATTTTGGACTTCTAGTCTCCAGAACTGTGTGAGAATACATTTCTGGGTCTTAAACCACCCAGTTTGTGATTATTTGTTATGGCAGCCCTAGGAAACTAAAACATACTTTGTTCCTCTGATATCTTCAACTACTACAAATAGTTTGTTGGGAATGGATAAATGCTTTGGCAAGCAACTCAATAATGAGATCTGGCCATGAGCTTCTGTTGTTTAAGGATTATGTAGCATAATCACTCTGCTAAATTTCTTTATCTGTAAACTAGACACCTCTAGATTAAACCCCATGATTCCTGACACTCAACTGACTTGAACTGGTCTTGGCTGGTCTCCCACCCACCCACCCCCAATGGGAGCTCTGTGTGCAGGGCCAGGACCTTGACTGGAATGTGGCCCAAGGGTTTTTAGCATTTCTGTCCTGAGAACTGATTTTTTTCTTTCCCATTTTAGCTTTCACATGCAATCATAATTTTAAAGTTGAGCTCTCTCTTGACTAAAGAGGTCAGCCTTGGCTTCCTGTCTTCAGAGGTTCTATGAACAGAAACAAACCACACTTGGGGAAGAGCATAAACCTCTCCTCAATTTTCCTTCACAGTGCAGCAGGCTTGGAGGAATGAGAGCATCTCGCTAAATGTTGTGAAAATGTTGGACATGTAAAGGTATATTCCAAAAGGCTTTCAAAATGGTCCTTGGCCCCACCTGAAATTCCCAAAGTCACCCTGTCCTCTTTCTCAGCTCATTCTCAGGCTAAGAGAAGCCACACATTCACCTGCCCTCACACAAACAGTTCTGACATCTCACTCCGGGAAGAGAATAAAAATGAAAATTTATTGTCTTCCACATCAGTCACCTGATTTTTATTAGCCTCCCACGTAGTTTCCTACAAGCACCCAATCCTGTTTTCACCCAAAGACGTGCTTAATCTCCCTGTGAGCCTACGTTATCAGTCCCTTTTTCTTTAAGAGATGAAACGATTGGCTACCGAAGTTTTCTAAAATGCCTGAGGGTTCCATCAGTATAAAACCAGGAGATGGACTTGATAAATCACATAGAACAATTTGTCCTCATCCACCCTTTGCCTCTAACTCCTTTGCCTTTTCATAGGTGTTTCCCTTTGTCTACAATGCCACTCAGTCTTTCTTCAATGAGGTTGTGTCTGTTCTTCATTCAAGACTCAAGTCTTAGGTCATTTCTTCTGGGAAGACTTCCTTGACTCTTCTCCTTACACATGGGTGAGTTTAAGCCTCTGAGCTTCCAACTCTGGGAGCCTTGACAGCACTGTTTATAATGGTCTATCCATGTGTCCATCTCCCCACTAGACTGATATCCCTGAGGATGACTCTGGGTGCCCAAAGGCGCCTGCCTGTCTGCTCTCGGGGCCTGGCACTGTGCCTGACAGAGGGCACAAGTTTCAGGAATGTCTCTGGAAAGAAGAAGGGAGGGAGGCAGGGCTTTACATTGCTAGGTTGGGGAACTGAGGGGGATTTGGTGACAAATGTAACCAGCATAGAAAAGAAACCAAAGGTAACAACAAGAACCATCACATAGGTAGGACTTTCTGGATAGATGCTCAGGCAGTAGCCTCAAAGAAAATTCTCTAGTCTCAAAGATGGGTTTGAGAATGATCTACCCACTGTGTTGCTTATTGTTAAATTGTCTTTCTTCCCTTCCTTTTTCCTCCTCCTCCTCCTCCTCCTCCTCCTCCTCCTCCTCCTCCTCCTCCTCCCCAACAACATTTGCTGAGAGCCTACTGTTTGTAGAATATCAGGCCAGGCTGGGGAAGGGAGAGAGGGAGTGGTTGTAAAAAGCCATGAAAGACAAGGTCCAACTCAGAGTCCAAAAGTGCAGATGACAAAACAGAGAAAGAATCCAGCTGTTATTAACAAGCTTAAAACTCCAAACCTGGAAAAACAAATCTTCTACTGCTTAGTAAATATTTGTTGAATAGCTGAATGAGGGTCCACCATGCCCCAGCCACTATCTTGGGAGGGCACCGTAGGGGACACTGAGATAAATAAGATCCGGAGTCTCCCTCCAGAAGTTCATGGTAGCACCCCATTCCCGCTCTAACCCGAGCCCCTAAAGGATCAGTGCTACCATTCCTCTCACATTTACTATGTAATTTCTTCCTAACAGAAGTCCCTCAAGTGGGAAGAACAGCTTCTGAGTCCCAAGAACAATGGGAAAACGTTTTCAGACTGTTGTCATCTCATCATTGGATCTGGAAAATGACACTTGTGTCTCAATAGGTAAATGTATAGGGGAGGCAGGGGGAAGAGGAAGAAGAAAGGGGCAGATCCCAGAGACCAGCACTCTTTTAAGATTTGGTCTGCTCATCAAAACCACACACTGATCAGTATATAAAAAGTAAAACTAAAGCTTACCCATGTTGTGCCACTGAAGGCACTGAATCATCAGAATGGCTAACCACTTCCACCTGAACATCTTTTCTAGCAGCCATGTGGATTTGTAATATTCGCTCTGAATCCATGGTTGTACAGGTGGCTCTGCCTTGTGTCCTCTGAGCCCCGTTCTCTTCCTTCTCTCATGTCATAATTCTATAAATCCAAAGAGACTATTCTAGAGAAGTTTTTTTTTTAAGTTTACTTATTTTTGAGACAGAGAGCAAGCATGAGCGAGAGGGGGAGGGGCAGAGAGAGAGGAGGACAGAGGATCTGAAGAGCTCTGTGTTGACAGTATTGTCAGTGATCCCCAAGTGGGGCTCAAACTCACAAACCAAGAGATCATGACTTGGGCCAAAGTCGGACGCTCAACTGAGAGCCACCCAGGCACCCCTATTCTATAGGGGTTATATATATATACATATATATATATATATATATATATATTTTAGTGTTTATTTATTTTTGAGAGAGACAGAGTGCAAGTGAGGGAGAGTAGAGAGAGAGGGAAACACAGAATTTGAAACAGGCTCCAGGCTCTGAGCTGTCAGCACAGAACCCCACGTGGGGCTCGAACTCATGAGCTGTGAGATCATGACCTGAGCCGAAGTTGGACACTTAACTGACTGAGCCACCCAGGAGCCCCACTACAGAAGTTTAAAAAAGTGTAAGGTCAATCCCCATTTCTTCTTTCACCCAGAGTGAAAGGAATAAGTGTGTTAATTAACCTTGCTGAGATTTGCCCATTGTGGATGCAGGCAGTCAGTCAATTGGAGGGAGATTCTTGCAGCAGGAGAGAAAGTGGCCTGAGGCCAAGTTATCAAGGGCCTGAGAGCTTGTGCATTCTG